GCAGGTAGGCAAACAAATTCACCTGGAATAGGAAAGTATATCGGAAAACAATTCAAAAATCTGGAAGAAAGATAGATGAGAATTTCAGTAAGAAGATGTATTAAGTTTTTATGAGCGGCCCCTCATAGCTGGTTACATTTTTCTTATGTCAATATTTTTACTCCCCAACAATATACATCCCCTCTACCTGAAATCTCTCATCTTGGCAGGGTGCTATTACAAAACATTAGTTAATTATATGTTTCTACTGTACATTCGAATTCCAGTATCATATTAAATTGTCAAACTAAATTACTATAGTATGTTTAGTTTATGCCAAAGATTATTTAGTTCAGTACCTAGGTTTGCCAATCTGAATTTGATGAAACATGACAGGGTACTAATTAGAGTAAAACTGAGAAAAATCTATTTTTTTTCCTCCTTTTTTTAGGAAGCAATAAAGTCAGGTAACTACAGTGACCCACACTTTCTGTATCTATGTATTTAGACTACATATAGATAGGTTTCCATATCATTGTTCCCTATTTGTATTTTTGTTTACCTTTATGAGTCTCCTGTACTTTTAAATAGGGAGCAAAAAGTGGGAGTGATAGATTTTGGGCATTCAGTAAACTCCCACAGCCCAGAGTTTATAATAGTGCAATGTTGAAAAAATATTTCTGGTTTGTTGCCATTATTTTTGCAATCTTTTGAGTTTTAGCTTTTCAAAAACAAACAAACAAACAAACAAAAACTAAGCAGCCCCAAAGGTGCTTTTTGAAAAGGCAACTGGATTTTCTTTTTTTTTTTCCTTGAAGACATTTCACTTCTCACCCAAGAAGCTTCTTCAGTTCTGACTGAAACCTCAAGAACTTCAGTCAGAACTGAAGAAGCTTCTTGCATGAGAAGGGAAATGTTTTCAAGGAAAAACAAAGACGCTCCAGTTGCCTCTTGAAAAAGCACCTTTGGGACAACCATGATCTGGATGAAAAAACCATTAAAGCATTTTTTTTTTTAATGGATGGAAGGTCCGGTTCATTGCATGGCGACTGAAGAGTGCCTGAGAGTATCTTGCATTTCATCATAGTATCACCTCTGCAAAATCTGAAACTTCCTTGACTTCCCCACTCTTCATTTTAATCCTTTCCTCATCAAGAAATGAGAACAGCCAGGATGAATGGCAGGTTAGTCTTATTGGCAATGAGTTCCCAAACAACTCAGTTCTAGTAGCACAGCCTAAGACTGTTAAAAGAGGAGAAAGGATAAAAGTTTCCAAATTTCTGGCCTGGAGATTCAATACTTGAATCTTACCTTCCACTATCTTCTTTAGATACAAATCTGGTGACCGTTTGTGCAATTTTCCCCTGTCCCGTGTTCTGTATAACCTAGTCTAAACTTCTGAGATGGAAAATATTCTCATTTAATTACTATTATCTTCAGTGTAAACCTAACATTTCCTGCTAGACTTTTCCCCTTCTAGAACTATTCAAGAGAGTTAAACTCTGAATCCTACATCACATTCATGACAAGCTCCCCCCCACTTCCAGTTTTGGCAAAGTTTTTGATATGAAACAAAGAGACTTTATCTACCATTGCAAAGTTTAAAATAACAACTGAATGGGAACAGCAGGGTGGCAGTATGTCAAAACAACTCAAAAACTGGTCTGTCAGCAACTGAGAAGCATTGCGTTTAAAAGGCACATTTTTAATTGTCTTTATCGTTTTTTTAAAAAAGAGAGAGAGAAACAGAAGAACCTTCTAACTTTAAAAAGCATATTAATAGTGTGTGTTTATTTATATGAAAGTCCTAATGTACTTTATGGAGCTCACTGTCTTGAAAGCAGGCATAGCCTAAATTTGTTTTCCCCCCTCCAAAAGTAAAATGCTGGATTCAACATTTGAGAATTGGAACTGTCTACCTTTCTTAACCTTCATATCTTAATTTAACTTTCTGTACGGCAGACATTGTGGACTATTTTTTTGCAGAAAAAAAGTACATGTCATATTTTTCTTCTGATGCCTGTACATGATTTCAGATATTTTTAAGATTTTCCCATCCTCCGTCCTTTCCTTCACCCATGTTCATGTTTATGTTAATCTAGATAATTGAAATGATAGATAGATAGATAGATAGATAGATAGATAGATAGATAGATAGATAGATAGATAGATAGATAGATAGATAGATAGATAGATAGATAGATAGATAGATGGATGGATGGACGGACGGACGGACGGACGGACGGACGGACGGACGGACGGACGGACATACAGATAGATAGATAGATATGAGAGAGAGGATAGATAGATAGGTAGATAGGTAGGTAGGTAGGTAAGTAGATAGGTAGGTAGGTAGGTAGGTAGGTAGGTAGATAGATAGATAGATAGATAGATAGATAGATAGATAGATAGATAGATAGATAGATAGATAGATAGATAGATAGATAGATAGATACTGACTGCCAGCTGCTAGCAATTCAGCAGTTTGATTCTCACCAGCTGAAGGTTGACTCAGCCTTCCATCCTTCTGAGGTCAGTAAAATGAGGATCAAGATTGTTGGGGACAATAGGCTGACTCTGTAAACTGCTTAAAGAGGGCTATAAAGCACTATGAAGCAGCATATAAATCTAAGTGCTGTTGCTATTGAGATAGATAGATAGATAGATAGATAGATAGATAGATAGATAGATAGATAGATAGATATGGGCGAGAGGATAGGTAGGTAGGTAGGTAGGTAGGTAGGTAGGTAGGTAGGTAGATAGATAGATAGATAGATAGATAGATAGATAGATAGATAGATAGATAGATAGATAGATAGATAGATAGATAGATAGATATGGGAGAGAGGATAGGTAGGTAGGTAGGTAGGTAGGTAGATAGATAGATAGATAGATAGATAGATAGATAGATTGAGAAAGAGAGAGAGAGAGAGAGTGATACAGATAGATATAAAGATATAGATAAAGAGTAAAGGTACTCTTCAATGTATGACCATAATTGAGCCCAAACTTTCTGTTGCTAAGCAAGACAGTTGTTAAGTGAGTTTTACCCTATATTAAGACCTTTCTTAACACAGTTGTTAAGTGAATCACTGCAGTTGTTAAGTTAGTGACACGGTTAGAATTAGTCTGGCTTCCCCGTTGACCGTGCTTGTCAGAAGGTCACAAAAGGGGATCAACATGACCTGGGGACTCAGCAACGGTCATATATGCCAGTTGCCAAGCATCTGAAGTTTGATCCTGTGGCCACAGGGATGCTGCAGGTCGTAAGTGTGAAAATCATAATGGTTATAAAAATGATCACAAGTCACTTTCCTCAGTGCTGTTGTAACTTCGAATGTAAACCATTGTTTGTAAGTCAAGGACTACCTGTATGTATAGATAGAGGTAGAGAGATAGAGAGAAAAATCACAGTGTAAATGGTGAACAGTAAATTATCCACAGCGCCCTTTGATGGCACCTTTAGAGGTGTATTCCTTTACTTCACTACGAACAGAAGCTGCTTCTTCTAACAGCTTTTGCTGTAGTTATTAGGTAATGCTCTTCCACCATCAGATAAAATGGCATTTTTGCACAGTGTGCTTATCTCAAACATTTTTTTATGTCTGAAGTGTTTTTTTTTTTAATTGCCAAGAAGAAGAATTAGGTATTTGTTTCAGGTGATCCTAAGAATGGAAAACAAATGAAGCTGGGAATGACACAGCAGGGGTACCCAACATGGATCTTGGCCACTGCCAGGCTCCTGGGAAAGATAGCACTTCTGCTGGGTATGAAATGCATTGCTGCACTGCTATGAGGAAGCCTTTTTTCTTTCTTTCTTTCTTTCTTTCTTTCTTTCTTTCTTTCTTTCTTTCTTTCTTTCTTTCTTTTTCTTTTACAACTCCCTTAGCTTTGAATGAAATTATTTTTTTTGTGTTGAGTTCTCCTCTCCTCTCCCCCTCCACTCTCTTCTCCCTCTCCCTCTCCTTCTCCCTTTTCCTCCCTCTCTCTTTCTCTCTCTCTCCCTCCCTCCCTCCCTTTCTCTCTCTCTCTCTCCTCCTCCCTCCCTCTCTCCCTCCCTCTCTCTCTCTCTCTCTCTCCCTCCCTCCCTCCCTCCCTCTCCCTCTCTCTCTCTCTCTCTCTCTCTCTTCAGTTCGCTGTAAAATGTCCTGAATGTTAATGAAGAAATGGGCAGACTCGAATCCACTCAATAGGTAGGGGTTAAGTAAAAGTCAATTAATTATAACGACAAGGGTTCTCCTCCTCTTTAGAAGTGAGAAGACATTTACCTTTCTGTCTTCTATTCTTAGAGATTACTATTTTTATTTACTACAACCTACATTCCATTAAAAAGTCTAATACACAGACGGCGTGACTATATTTAGGTCGGATCTCAGTCTTTTTCTGGGGCAAGATCTAAGGGTCATTGAAAAAAAAAGGTGCAAGGTCAGGAACTGTAGAGGAAAATGGGTGGGGGACTCGGGAGAATCCCTGCATTTTATTGTCTAGCACAGCTACTTATTTATTCTAATGGAAGGGCCAGCTGTGCTGGAAATTAAAAACCATTCCTTGTGGAATTGCCCATAGATTTTGTTCATAAATAGATTAATATCCTTCATAAAATTTAATTTAGAGGTGAGATAAATGTTAAAAAGAAATGGTAAGTGGAGACTAATTAAGGAAATATGTCCTGAAATGTCTCCTTCCTTCCTTCCTTCCTTCCTTCCTTCCTTCCTTCCTTCCTTCCTTCCTTCCTTCCTTCCTTCCTTCCTTCCTTCCTTCCTCCCTCTTTCCCTCCCTCCCTTTCCTCCTCCTCCTCCTCCTCCTCCTCCTCCTCCTCCTCCTCCTTTTCCTCCTCCTCCTCTTGCCTGCTTTTCTCTCTCATCCAGTCCTATCTACAGCAAATCATGATGATGCCAGAATGACAACACACCTGTGGTACCATCATCCCATAAGCACTGTCTTTTGTGATTGAAACATCCGATGCAACTATTTAAAGTGAGACAGGGGCATCATCCATACCACATCTTTTGAACCTCCACCCTTCAGTGAGCGCCCACGTTTTACCTGTTGATGCAGTTTGCTTGAACTGCAAGGAACGTATATTCAGGGTAGCCAAGATCGATTTGGTATCCACTAGAGTCTGATTACTGGCATCAGTGGCATTGGCTGACAGAATGGCACACATGCTGCAGTATTGGATGCCAGCTGCCTTGAGATCTGCACAAGATAGCCCACTGCCCTGATGAGAAAAGTGAGAAATTTATGTATGTATGTATGTATGTATGTATGTATGTATGTATGTATGTATGTAAAATTATTTTTGTTAATGCCTGAGTTCCATGGTGGCTTAGAAATGAAACTCTTGCCTCACTATCAAGAGGCTCTGAGTTCAATCCTAGGTAATGGGCAGATATTCCTCTCTCTAGGCACAAGGAGAAAATATGTGCTGTGAACTCTGTATAGGCATCAGGAAGGGAATCTGGCCAGTAAATGCACAGCTCCATTCAGTCATTCTGACTCCATCCTAACGCAAGGGATTACAGGTTCGTTAAAAAAATACTACTACTACTACTACTACTACTACTACTACTACTACTACTACTACTACTACTACTACTACTACTAATAATAATAATAATAATAATAATAATAATAAAGAAGAAGAAGAAGAAGAAGAAGAGGAGATGATCGGCTAGTATTATTATTATTATTATTATTATTATTAATTTAATTTCTATACCGCCCTTCTCCCGCAGGACTCAGGGCGGTGCACAGCATATTAAAACAGATACACATATCAATAAAAATAAAAACCCCTCTAAAACCAAATTAAAACCAAATATTCGAAGCTGTGTTCCAATTAAAATTATACTTAAAATCGTCCCTAAATAAAA